GTTTTTAAAAAAATATATTTCAGATATTAACCCCTTATCAGACAGAGTTTGCAAATATCTTTTCCCATTCAGTGGGTGGCCTTTTCATTTTTTTGATGGTTTCTTTTGCTGTGCTTTTTAGTTTGATGTAGTCCCATTTGTTTATTTTTGCTTTGTTTCCCTTACCTGAGGAGACATATCCAAAAAGATATTGCTAAGACTGATGTCAAAAAGCACATTGCTTATATTTTCTTACAGGAGTTTTATGGTTTCAGGTCATTAAGTCTTTAATCCATTTTGAGTTTATTTTTGTAGATGTTGTAAGAAAGTAGTCCAGTTTTATTCTTTTGCATGCAGTTGTCAAGTTTTCCCCGAGGAGGCTATCTTTTCCCCATTGTATATTCTTGCCTCCCTTGTCATAGAGGAACTAACCATAAAAGTGTGAGTTTATTTCTGGGCTCTCTTTCCTGTTCTATTGATCTATGTGTCTGTTTTTGTGCCACTACCATACTGTTTTCATTATTGTAGCTTTGTAGTATAGTTTGAAACCAGGGAGCATTATGGCTCAAGCTTTGTTCTTCTTTCCGAAGATTGTTTTGGCTATTTGGAGTCTTTGGTGTCTCCATACAAATTTTAGAATTATTTGTTTTGGGTCTGTGAAAAATGTCATTAGTATTCTGATAGGGATTGCATTAAATCTGTAGATTGCTTGAATAGTATGGTCATTTTGACAATATTAGTTCTTCCCACCCATGAGCACAATATCTCTTTCCATTTGTTTGTATTATGTTCAATTTCTTTCATCAGTGTCACATTTTTCTGATGACAGGTCTTTTACTTTCTTAGTTAGATTTATTCCTAGGTATTTCATTTTATTTTTTTGATGTATTTGTAAATGGGATTGTTTTCTTAATTTCTCTTTCTGATAGTTCATTGTTGGTGTATAAAAATGCAACAGATTTCTGTATATTAATTTTGTATCCTGCAACTTTACTGAATTCACTTTATAGTTGTAATAGTGTTTTGGTGGAGTTTTTAGGATTTTTCTAGAGATAGTGTCATGTCATCTGCAAACAGTGACTGTTTTATTTTCTTTCCAATTTTTAATCCTTTTTATGTACTTATTTTTTCGTCCGATAGCTGTAGCTACAACTTCCAGTACTATGTTGAAAAAAAAGTGGCAAAAGTGGGCATTCTTGTCTTACATTTGATTTTAGAGGAAATGCTTTCAGAATTTCACTGTTGATTATGATGTTAGGTGTGTACTTCTCATATATAGCCTTTATTCTGTTGAGGTGTTTCCTCTATATCCACTTTGTTGAGAGTTTTTTTAATCATAGATGTTGAATTTTGTCAAAAACTTTTTCTGCATATGTACATATGATTTTTATTCTTCAGTTTCTTGATGTGGTGTATCACAGATTGATTTGTGGATACTGAAGCATTCTTGCATCCCTGGGATAAATCCTACTTGACCATGGTTTATGATCTTTTTAATGTATTGTTGAATTTGGTTTGCCAATATTTTGTTTAGTGGTGCTAAATTTTTTTTAGCTTTTGCTTGTCTATAAAACTCTTTATCTGTCCTTCAAGTCTGAATGATAGCCTTGCTGCGTAGAGTATTCTTAGTTGTAGGTTTTTTCCTTTCATCACTTTAAATATATTGTGCCACTCCTTCCAGCCTGCAAAGTTTCTGCTGAAAAGTCAGCTGACAGTCTTATGGGAGTTCCCTTGTATGTAACTAGTTGCTTTTCCCTTGCTGCTTTTAAGATTCTCTCCTTGTCTTTAATTTCTGCCATTTTAATTACAGTATGTCTTGCTGTGGACTTCCTTGAGTTGATCTTGTTTGGAACTCTGTGCTTCCTGGACCAGCGTAGGGTAGTTTTTAGATATTATTCCTTCACATAAGTTCTCTGCCCCTTTATCTCTCTCTCCTCCTTCTGTGACCCCCTACAATGCAAATGTTAGTATAACTGATGTTATCCCAAAGGTCTCTTAAATTGTCTTCAATTTTAGAATTCTTTTTTCTTTTTTTTCTGTTCAACTTGTGTGATTTCCACTACTCTGTCTTCCAGCTCATAGATTCATTCCTCTGTATCATCTAATCTAGTGTGGGTTCCTTCTGGTGTATTTTAAAATTTCAGTTATTGTATTCTTCTGCTCCTTTTGGTTCTTCTTCATATTTTCTAACTATTTGTTTAACTTTTCACTGTGTTTATCCATCTTTCTCTCAAGTTCATTGAGCAGCTTTATGATCATTACTTTGAACTCTTTACTGGGCAGATTGCTCATCTTTGCTTTGCTTTGTTCTTCTTCTGGGGCTTTATCTTATTCCCTCACTTGGACCATATTCCTCTCTCACCTCATTTTGCCTAACTCTTACATTTTAATTTTTATGTATTAGGCAGGTTGGTTACATTGCCTGATCTTGGAGAAGAGGTCTTATGTAGGCCTATGAGGCCCAGTAGTGTACTCCCCTCTGGTCACTAGAACTATATGCTCTAGGGTGCCCCCTATGTGGGCTGTGTGGGCTCTTCTGTTGGGTGAGGGCACACTGGTTGGTGGAGCTGGCTTCTGGCCTGGGTGGCTGCCAGGCTCTGCCTCATGTGAAGACTGTTGGCTGCTGATGGGTGAGGTCATGTCTTGGGGCAACTGGCTGTGCGGCCCAGGGGTTCCCAGGGAAACTGGCTTGGGGACTTGGGAGGAGGGGAGCCACAACTGGTGCAGCCTTGCTGTTGGGCAGGGCTGGGTCCTGTGTAGTTGGCTGCTTGGCCTGGGGATTCTGAGACTGGTGCCGACTGGCTGGCAGGTGGGTAAGCTCCAGCACTGATAGGCTAGAAGGGGGACTCCAAAATGGCACATGACAGCACCATTGTCTTCAAGGTAGAATGAGCTCCCATTAATGGCTGCCACCAGTGTCTCCCAGGAAGGGTTCCAGTTGCCTCTTGCCTCTCCAGGAGGGCCTCAAGATCAGCAAGTGGGTCTGACCCAGGCTCTTTTCAAATCACTGCCTCTTGCCTGGGACTTAGAGCATGTGAGGTTTAGCATGTGCCCTTTAAGAGTGGGGCCTCTGTTCCCTACAGCCCTTTGGCCCTCCTATGTGCATACCCTGCTGGCCTTTAAACCAGATGTTCTGAGGGCTTGTCTTTCTAGTGCAGGACCCCAAGGCAGGGTGGGTGGGGGAGCCCAATGTGGGGATCAAATCCCTCACTCCTTGTGGGGAATCTCTGCAGCTGTGACTATCTTCTCATCCGTGGGTCACCTACCAGAGGGTGTGGGTCTTGACTATACCATGTCTCCACCCCTCCAACCCATCTTGTTGCTGTTGCTTGTTTATTCTCTAGTTGTGGAAAATCTTTTCTGCTACTTTCAGGTCACATTCTCATTGATAGTTGCTCTGTAAATAGTTGTAATTTTAGTGTGCCTGGGGAGGATGTGAGCTCAGGGTCTTCCTACTCCACCATCTTACCACAGCCATGGCTGTGTGATTTTAGACGATTTATTTGATCCTTCCAAGCTTCAATTTTATCATATTAATTTAGATGAGAGGATGCAGGTAAAGCACTTTGCCTCCTGCTTGGCACATAACAGGTGCTCAGCATATGTCTGTCCATGGTTGTGATGACTGTGGGAGTTTCTTTATCTCAAGATATCCCTTCCCTAATATTTGCTTCCCTCCTCCCTTCCTTATACTAACTCTGAGGAATCTCTCTCACCATTCAAAACTACAGGCAAGGATTTCTAGGGCTGGCTTACTTTAAAGCCTATGAAGTCTTTATCATGAGAACAATAGTTAAACATCATAATTTATCTGACTTGATGCCAGACCCAAATTGTCTGCAAACCCCTCCTAATGGTTAACTTTGAATAGTGCTGCAGTCAGAAAGAAAATGAAAAACTGAAACTTTTGTACTGTGCCCACATCATTTTTTCCATTAAATCTCTGTGTAATTACATTTAAAATTAATATTGTCCACAGGTGGAATTACTGAGGATGGCAGGGAAAACAGTTAAAACATTCCAGGTACTAATCTTGCTTCTCCAGGCCTTAGCTTTGCCTGCCTCTGGTAAACCCACAGTTCCAAAATTATTTCTCATTGAAGAAACATGAAAAGATGATAATAAGCAGAGTAGACTATCCTTGCATGGGCATTTTATGTAAAGTGCTTGGAGTGGCAAATATTTTACTTTCTGGGCTTGGGAGCTGAGAGGACACGCAACACTAGCCAGCCTGCTATATTCTGCTTAAAACCTGAGATAGATTAACACTCGTTCTGACGGACTTTGGAAAGTATCCTCAAAGCAGACTACTATTCTCAAAAAGTCAGTCAAGCAGCCTTGGGCTTATCGACTGGTTTCCTCCACCTATGCTAATCATCTTACACCATGTTTTCACTTTTTATCTGGAAATTATTCTTCTAAAGGACCTGCGATTCAGCCAACTACGAGTGCTCAAATAAGTCTTTGGCTCTTCCAATGAACACAGAATCAGAGAGATCAGCACTTTTAAATCTAAGCACCAGCAAAGTTTGAAATCCACATGAAAAGATGTCTTCTAAGACAGTGCTTTTCAAATTTTAAGGTGTGTATGAATCACCTGGAGGATCCTGTATGAATGTAGACCATGATTCAGCAGGTCTGGGGCAGGCAGGGTCTGAGATGATGAATTTCTACCAAACCTCCACGTGTTTTCCATCCTGTGGGTCCATGGACTGCACTTTGAATGACAAGGTTCTAAGGTACAGGTGGGTCTGCTTCCAGGCATGCGTTACAGCTGTATAAACCATGGTCTTGCACACTGCAGATGAACTAGTCACTGAGCTACAGTGAATGACCTCCCCTCCTTCAAGCTGCCTGACTGTTCTAGTTGGCAAAGGATCAGAATAGCATTGTCTGATTACAAGATGGCCATGAGGGGCTGCATCTGGTAGATCTTGACTGGTCCTTGCATCCTAGTGGCTCCTGGTCTGCAGAGTCCCGCCTTCTTGTGAATGGATGTTTTTAGGAAGTGGTGCCCTCTTCCATCAGAGCTAGTCTCACATCTTTCTTTTCTGCTTTCCCATTGCCTTCTTATCCTTGCCTCCATCACCAACAAATCCCCCCTCCAATGCCCCCATTAAAAGTTTTTTTCCTTATCTTTTCTTCAGTCTCATTTTTGTGTGACTTGCTGTCTCTTGCCACTAGGTCTTCCTGTCTCCAGGGATCCCATGATTCTTGGGCTGTGTTCAGCTTTTCCTTGGGTTCCCCTCAACCCTACAGTGTTCACAGCTTCCTTTCTTCTCTTCCCAAGACTTTCTACTTCCCAAGACTACTATTTCTTCACCCAGGTTTAGAAAGATGAAGGAAGCAAGGCTCAAACAGGAGTGGCACCACTGGTCTAAGATCTAAATCTATAACCCTCTAAAATGACCACACTCTTTGACCCTGCCATTCCACCCCTAGGCATTTATTAAGAAAACAGGCAGAGATGCAGGCAAAGATATCTGTATAAGATGTCCATTGAAGAATTGCTCGTAATAGCAAAAAAATTTGTCTAAAATAAACTGGTGGTTAAAGTTAATGATGGTACCTCAAAACAGTGGATATAATTTTAGCATTAAACATCTGTGCCTTAATGCCTACTGATTAGGTGAAAATGTTCATAAAAGTTAAGTGAAAGAATGCAACTAGACAATGATGCATATATTAAAATTCCAATGTTATTAAAATATGCAGAGTAAAGAACTCACACATCCAATTATGAACAGTAATAATTTTCTCTGGGTGACAGGATAATAGATGTTATTTTCCTAACTTTTGTATTTCCCGTGTTTTCTACAATAGAACTGCATTCCTTTATCTCAAAAAAAATCTTAAATATAAAAACAGTGTACTTTATGAATTTAGATATTAGATCCCGCTCACAGATAATCTTAACTATTTGAACATGAGGACAGCTTGGAACTCACATTAGAGTTTCTACTGAATATTGTAAAATGCTAAATTGAGTAACTGTAATAAATGCTCCCTCAGCAAAAATGTTTACACAGAATCACAGGTTTTTAGAGAAGGAACTGGGATGTGATCTGTTTCCATCTTTCCCCTAAATATAGTAATCTCTTTTTGCCGTATTTCAATATTCTTTCTCTGGTGGCAAATTCGTTTAAGATGCAATTCCTCAACTGGCTGGCAAACTAGCTTGACTATTTTGGGCATAATTACAGATAATTAGGCAGCGTCTTGAAGTAATGTGACTTTCCACTCACTGCAAAGAAAGTAATTTGCACTTTCAGTATAAGTCTCTTCTGTCTCTATATTTTGCAGTATCAACATTTTGCATTTCCCCTATTAGTTAATGCCTGACTAGGGCACTGAGGGTTGTGCCAGAATGATGTCTTGAGGAAGCATTTATCATGTGAGCACCACGCAATTCATATGTCCTTCGCTATAACTGATTTAGTTACAGTAATCACTAACACGCTGGCTAACACGCTGACATTTCCTTGACCACATGTCTTCAACATTTCCTGGTGAGTAATGCCTTTAGACATAGTCAACTGTGCCCTTCTCCATGGTACAAAGAGTCCCCAGGACCAAGGAAACGTGCCCACCCAGGTTCCGTAGGCTCCCTTCTAGATCACACTCTGTGTACCCAAAACCCCAGAATTCCCAGTCCAAATGACAAACAGACCAAGAGGACACTCAGCTCTCCTTGGATGGTGTTGTATCGTTTATCCCATAGTGGAGGGTGGTGGAGTTGTCAAATTATTTCACTAGTATTTTTCTGGAATTAATCAATTTATTATCTATCCAAACACTTCTTCCATTCATTTTGTCGTACATTTAACCTGTCCATCTATAAACACACTCACCCATCTACCCATTCAGCCGCTCACACCTCCACGTATCTACTTATCTGTCCTTTTTTTTTTCCAACTAACACTAAGGAATTATGTGCTAAGAATCATATTAGTCACTAATGAAGATGTTATGGCTCCTGACTTGACGCCTTCAGAGGACAGTAGGTGAAGTGGGTTAACAGGTGGATAATAATATTCCAAAGTGATGAAAAATGGAAGAAAGGAAAGGGACTTGATTTGATCTCACCAAGAGAGTAGAGAGATCTGAAAAGGCTCCCTAGATGACATGCCTTAAAGAATGAGGGTATTTTTCCAGGTAGAGAAGAGAGGGATGGAAGATGAGGACACATGAAGATGCAAGGCAGGTAAGTGGAAAGGTGAGAAAAACACAAGGTGAAGCACTGGTGTGTGTGCTGAAATGAGGAGATGAGGCTGGGAGAGGTGAAAGAAGGCAGGTGCAATCATACAATAGCAGAGCTTATAGTCAAACTCATTTGTTTTAAAGCAAGGTCATGACATGATGGAATTTATGTTAGAAGGAGCAATGGGCAGGCATGAAGCAAAGACTGGAGGTGGGGTCATTCACCAGGGGGTGGGAGGAGATAAGGTGGCATTTTGCAGATGTTTTCCTGGGTTGGGAGGTTGAATACACAGGCTCTGGTATGGTAGGGAGAGGGAGAAATTTAAGGCAACCCAGAGATCTCCAACTTGGCAGTTTGGTTTACCATCAGTGGAAATGGAGAATCATGGAAGCGAAATATGCTAAGTATGGTAGCTTCCTATTCATTCACTATTTCATTTATTTAAGAGATGTTTATTATTGTGTCAGCCACAAAGGATACAAGTGAACAAGATGGACATGGCTCTGCCCCCAGGGAACTTTCTGTCTTGTTTTCACGCGTAAAACATTACTATGTCTTCGTCAGAAGGATTGCTGTCTTTCTCCTTCCGGATGGGCCCACGGCTGAGATACCCAGGAATGTCTCTCCAAGTCAGTTTGCACACGTGGGTCATCTCCTCCATCAAGAGCAGAACTTGCTGTCTAATTAACTGTTTGGCAATGGACCTCCTATCAATCAATCATCTGTCATTAAGACGCTGCTGTCAGCAGCGTTCAGTAACCAAATGTTACTGATGGCTCCCACTACACACTGCTGTGAAATCACATCACTCCTCACACAAGGATTAAGTCATCAAAGCAGATGCTCCAAGACTTTGCCAAGAGCACTGACAACTTCCATCCCCACCTCCTGGAGGAAAGAGGCTTCTTTAGGACATTCGATGTTTCTAGCTCTCCTTGGTTTGAAGCTTCTGCTGGTCAGCTGACCAAGAAATGTGATAGCAGCTTTTGTGTCTCGGCTGGGGCTTTAACAGTATCGGAGCACCATGCTTGCCGCCTTGCAGAGTACATTTCTCAGAAGTGCATTCTGTGCGCTAAGGTGATGGATCCCTGAAAAGTCAGGACAACAAGCTGTGACCTGTTCTCTAGGAGGCAAGAGCGTGCCCTACCCAGGGCAGCTGGTGCTAATTAGCATTTTCTGTCTGGTCAGCTAAATTTCCTTTTGGTATAAACAACCCCGATCATATCAGCAAGGCAGCAGGGAAGACAAGACATCCAGATAAAATCAACCTTCTATTTTCCTCCTGTTGGGCCCCTCTCTTCCCTCTTGGTGCCACCAACAGTCACAAATGCTTTGATCACAGGAACAAGCTCTCATATTAGTCCTGCTTCTACTGCTCCTCTAAAGGATTATAGAGAACGCCTCTCTCTTCAGTTGATAGGTTTTATTTTGCCTTTTTCTTATTGGAAATTCAATGTGGTAGTGGTTTCATTAACTTGATTTCTCATGCTGTGTGGAGGGGTTTTTTTTGGGTGTGGACAAGTGTGATGCGAGAAGTGAAGCTGTAGTCACAGGGCTGTGAAGGGGACGGTGCTCTACACTGGAATATTCTCATCCCCAGACTGGGGAGCCCCGCGGGGGACACTCGAGGACGCAGGCTGGCGGAGCACATGGTAGCTGTGATGGGTAGAGTGCTGCCTGGGGGTCCACATCGTTCTACTGTGGGCCCACCATGTGGCCGAGCAGCCAGCACACAGCTTAAGCCATTCAAAATGCTGACACGGTACTTCTCTCCAAAATTCCTTTCTTTTCCCCTCTTTCCAAGTAGGTGCTAGGTACAAAGCAAGGAAAGACATGAGGTGAAGCAGGGATGGATGTGTTGGAGATGAGGGCTATTTCTGGGGATTGACTTTCAGGTGAGGCCCTGAGTGCTCACAGGTGAGACCCAAGGACCCCATCACAGCATGTCTGTGTCCTTCCCCCCGAGGCCATGTCCTGAGGGCTGAGAGGGCACAGCTAACAACGTGTGAACAGAGGTTAAGCTTGGCTTTCACTGGCTCACTTGGCATATTCCTGCTCCTCCACGCTTTCAGAGTGGTTCTTGGTCTGCCAGCAGCTGACAAGCATTCAGCCAGGAAAGGAAATTATGCAGACAGGAGGAAAAAATCACACTTCTTCCTTAGTTTTCTTAAGGAGAAAATGACACATGAGGAGGCAAATAAAATTCTCAAATGAAAGTGCTAGTGAAGCGTTTTGTTACCCTTGTCTATTCTGTTATGGTGAGGGTAGTAAAACCCTTTAAACAAAAGAGCTGTAGGCTTCTTTTCAAGGCAGAAGGAAGGGGTGAATGGGACATTTGAAGTTAGGGTAGGGGGAGGTGAGAATCCAGAGTCAGGTGGCTGGAAATGGCACAACAGAGTAGAGAAGGCTGCTCTCCTAGACTGGTGAAGATTTGGAAAGAAGATAAGCCATCTCTACACTTGGATGCCTCCAAAATGCCTCAAAAACCCTCTCATGGTCCTCACTACTCCCACAATCCCCCTTTTAGAGAACTGGTTTCCCAGGGTCTCCAGTTCTCAGAGAATGGCATGACCTTTCACCCTGCTGACAAGCCAAGACCTGAGGGTTATCTTTGACGTTGTGTCCTACATCTAAAGCAGGGTTTCTCAGCCTCAGCACTACTGGCATTTAGGGCCAGGTAGATCTTTGTTGTTGGGGAGGGGGCTGTCCCGTGCACTAGGACATCTAGGCAGCATCCCTGAGGACTCCCTATTAGATGCCAATTGCACACCCTCCCCCCAACATCTGCATCCCACCCCTCACCAGGTGCGACCACCAAAAGTCTTCAGATGTTGCCAGATATCCCTGGGGGGTGCAACTGTCCCTGGTTTAGGACCACTGATCTAAAGTAAACCACCACCAAGTCCTGCTGGGTTTATCTTCTCAATCTGCCTGACCCTCGTCACTCTGTCACCATTGTCATGAGGTTTAAGGTATCATTACCTCCCACCCGGACACCAGCTCCAGCCAATCTTATGCCACTCCTGCCCTCTCCAATCCACTTTCCAGACAAGCAGCCCAGGTGATGATTCCAGAATCGACTCTATTCATAGCATCTCCCCATACATAACCTTTGGAAGATTTCCTATGTTCTGAAGATAGAGATGAAGATGAACAGAGTTTAAAAGAATCTGGCATGGCCTGCTTCGCCTGCTTGTCTCACACCGTTCTCCTTCTCCCATCAGCTCCCAAAAGGTGCTTTGTGCCCCATGCTCCTCCTGACTACACATCCTTCTTACTCATTCACCTTATTGTCTTTGGATCAAAGTTCCAAAATCACTTCTCCAGGGTCTCAAGCTTCCCATATCCCTCTGTGTCAAGGCTCCCAGCCAGATACTTTCAAAGCAACATATGTCATTCCTTCCTAGCTTTTATTACGGTTCATAATTCCACATTTATCTGTGCTCTAATTTGATTAAAGTTTGCCTCTCCCACCAGACTCTAAGCTCCATGAGTTATCATGCACCATCATATCCCTGCAACCCAGGACAATGCCTGACATATAAACCTTCACTGAAGGGACGGAAATACATGAAGATGGCCTGATGGATCAAAATTCAAGCCAACGGTGGTCCTTGAATTTGGAGTCAAGGATTTTCAGGACGAGTGTCCCTTCCATTCCCTGTTGTTGTTGTGCCTTCATGTATTTCTTTCTTTCACAAGTCTTCCCTGAGTATCTACTATGTGCCAGATGCAGATTGACACTGGATATTTCAGACAAGACAGACTTGGCCATGATGTTGTCCTCTGTCTAGCAGCACAGATTACGTCAATCAAGTAACGACAGCCTGTGAGGACTGTGAAAGGGGCATTGCTGATACGCAGATGCCTGGTAGGTTCTCTGAGGCCATGGGAAGAGAAGGCTTCACAGCCTCTTCTCCACACCATTGTTTCTTCCAAGATTTAACTCCTCAGGAAGTAGGAGTTGGATTTCTTTGAGCAAAGACTGGAAAGCACAGCATAACACATTAGTTATCCCAGATGTCACTGATTTGTAGAAATGGCATCAATCCTAAGATGTTATTTGACATTTATATTGCATTCCCTAAGTGGATTGCCAAAAGTTTGTTTTCAGAATGTCTTGAACTCAGAGAAATAAGGAACAATAGCTTTTTTCTTATTTGATTTAAAAAAAATCAGTGGCATAGACAACAGACAAGTAACTGGTACAATTGGAAATAAAGCTTTACGTTAAACTAAATTGAGTCAGTTGAACGATCATCTGTGGCTACTCACTACCTGCAGATTCTGTGCTAGGTGCTGAGGATGTCAAGATTCTGGGGATATGAAGACAAGGAGGACAAGAGCTTTGACCTCAAGGAGTTCACAGCCTCTTAGAGACACACTAATTTCTGCACAGATGTACCAAGTGCTATTTTGAGGGGTATAAGTGCTTCCATCTCATTATTCTGGTTTCAGCCCAAACCTCACTTCTAAGAGGCTTTCCTTGATCATCTAACCAAATATCACACTCTCCTCTGCCAGTTACACACTCTCTCATTAGTCCATAATAATTTCCTCATAGTGCTTATCCTTTTCTGAATTAACTACTAGTTTATGTTTTGTGTTATAATGATTCCCCAGCTAGAATGTATGTGCTTCATTTTTGCTCCCCTCCATACTCTAGTGCCTAAAACATCATCTGGCAGGTGGTTGGCACAGAATGAATGAATGAATTCATAGGTGGATGGATGGATGGATGAATATTCCCAAGGAAAACCACTAGGTCCTCCCTTGGGAGGCTGAAGAAAGCTACAGAAGGAAGGTGACATTTGAACTGGGTCTTGAAGTAGGAGTTTACTTGGCAGACAAAGTGTGGGTGGATACGGAAGGCGTCACTACATGCAAATATTTATAAACTTGGAGGTGACAGGAAGAAGGGTGATAGAGTCTAAAGGAGGGCAGGAGTGATCTTGTGGGACAGGAGGCTGGGGCAGGTTGTGAACAGGTGTGAAGGTCACACCCAGAGAGTGGATTTTTGCAGGATGTTTGCAGATAATGAGACTTTTTAAAGCATGAGAAAAGTGAGGCCAAGTCTCTAATCTGCAAATCTTCCTCTGGTGGCCTGAAAGAATGAGGCTGCTTACTGAGAAAATTAATGAATCTTTCCCAGGAGAGAGGAACATCATTTGTAAGCATCTAATTTAGCACATCCACAAAAATATTTTTTTCTTCTTTGTTGACCTCAGAAATCCTTTAAAATCCCCCAAATGTTACTGTAAAGTCTTCTTAGGCACTGGGCAGGTTGAACTGTGCTTGGAAGCTTTCCACATCCTCCCAACCAGGGTCATCTGGGATTTCACATTGAACAACTTAGAAGAAAAGCTAAGAAGCTGAAGGACTAATTAAGTCCCGACTGGGTAGAGAACATGGGTTTCTAACAGCAAGTTTGTGAGGTATTTTTAAGTAATCCCTGAGGGAGGTTGAACAGAATAAAAGCTTAATCATTAAATATCCTTCCAGTAAATGGAGTCTCCTACTTAGTTTAAAGAAAGTCTCATCAACTAAGAATTATATATCATACTTGTAAATTTCTCTTTCTTAATATCTGTAATTGTAATGGCTGGTAAGGGGGAGAAGAACTAACTAAAATTAAGCTCATACTGTGGCCAGACATTGTCAAAAGTATTTTATATCCTAGTTGAAATACTTTGAACTATTATTTATCCTCATTTTGCAGATAAGGAAACAAAGACAGTGAAGGGTTAAATCTGGTGCCCAAGACCACACAGTAAGTAGCAAAGCCGGGATTTTAATCCAGGGTAAAGCAGAATGTAACAGGGATCAAATATACAGACACGGGAGTCCCATAGACTGAGCTGCAGAAGTTCACCCCTCAATACCACGTAATGCTGGGTTAACTGTTCAGCCTCAAAGCTGGGGCATTCTCATCTGGAACGTGGGATCATGTTAGTTCCTATTTCAGAGACATTTTGAGTAGAGGCATCCTCTCACATTCATTGAGAAGACATATGCCAACACTTTGCCCAGAGCCTGACACCTAGAAATCCTCAATTCAGGTCATTTTCCACCTTGCAGGAATGATTGAAAGGTCTCTGTTTTAATACAGGAGAAATCCAACATCATTGCAAACAACCAGATACTAAATGACAAAGCCATGCTCTTCTTGGCACTTCTCCCCCTGGCCGCACCAAATGTCACTGATGAGATGGTGCTGAAATCAAGTTGCCCATTAAGGTGCCCATTTTATTTTTTCTTGGGTCAGAATTTCTTTTACCTTGGGACTCTTGCCTTTCAGAGCCAAATAACTGTCCCATGCATTGTAGAAGGTTGAACAGCATCCCCGGCCTCGACCTATTAGATGCCAGTAGCAACCACTAATTGTGACAACCAAAAAATGTCTCCAGACATTGCCATCTATTCACTGGGGGCACAGTTACCCATCAGTAAAGAGTCACTGATTTTGGTGAAAATTAACAGTGATTTATGAAAAAAACCCCAAAAAACCCCCAAAAAACCAAACAGTGATTTATGAAGCTGAAGACCAAACTAGAGTCTCCTAGGATTCAGAGGGAGATTTCCCCTTCCTCTAATATTTCACAGCACTTGCTGAATAGAGATGAATTCTCAATGGGAAGCCAAGACAGGCCAATCAACAAATTACCATAGCCAGTTAGCTCATCAAACTCCAGCTACAAATCCACAGCGTTTTGTAGATTGTTAATTTCTCATTAAGGGAGCCATGTCATTTAATAATCATTCTGTCCTTTGGTTCCATAAGGTGGAATAAAAGCATGAGAACCCACTAAGGTTTTCTTTCACATTTTTAACAAGGAGTGACAGCTATGTTCACTCACCCAACATTTATTGAGTGCCTGCTACATGGAATGTCAGATATTAAGCCTCTAACAGTGTCAGGAAAAGGTTGAAGTCTTTATGCCAGCCAAATTTCCTCATGGAAGGAATACTAATTGATTTTTCTTACAGCTTTTGAAAACCTACTATGTGCCAAGCCACAAGCTAGGCCCTGTGTAGAACAGGCTGAAAGAAAAGGATGTTGTTACTACACTCTTGGAGCTTATGATAAAGCAGTGGTTCTTAAAGTGGTGTCCTTGGACCAATAGCATCAGTATCTCCTGATGTTATGGATTTAACCATCCTCCCCAAAAGATATGTTGAAATCTTACCCCCCACCCCAGTACTTTAGAATGTGACTATTTGGGAATAGGGTGTTTATAGAGGTAAACAAGATAAAATGGGGTCATTAGTGTGGGTCCTGATCCATTACTTTTGGTGTCCTTATGTAAAGGGGAAATTAGGACACAGAGACGGATATTTGTAGAGGGGAGACTACGTGAAGACACACGGAAAATGCCTTGTGAATACTGAGGGCTGGGGAGATGCAGCTACAAGCCAAGGGCCACCAGGGATTGCAGGTAACCAGTAGAAGACAGAAGAGACACGAAGGGGTCTCCCCAGACCCGTCAGAGAGTGTACCACCCTGATGACAGCTTGATTTCAGACCTGTAGCCTCCAGAACTATGAGAATAGATTTCTGTTGTTTTAAGCCACTTAGTTTTGGGTGACTTTTTATGGCAGCCTAGGAAACCAATGAACCTGAGAACTTGGTAGACATGCAAATTCTTGGTCCCCACCTCAGATCTACTGAATCATACGCTGTGGTATGTACAGAGATCCAGACTCTGAGTCTTAACAAGCCCTCCTGGGAATGCTGGTGCAAGGAGGACTGGGCGAGCTATGATGAAGAGCAGTGGTTCTGCACCCTGGCTGCATATTCCACTCACCTGGGTAGCCTTAACACCAAAACAAAATCAGAAATAGCATCCTAGAGATTCTGACAGGAATTCTGATAGGATGCTTCTAATGTGCAATGAAGGCTGAGAACGGCTAGTCTTGAGCAATGACTCTCAAATGTTGAGTATGCATAGCTCAGCAGGAATGGCATCACTGGGGGTCTTGTGAACATGCAGATTCTGATTCAGTAAAGCTAGTGTGGGGCTGAGACTCTGCATTTCTAACATGCTCTGGGTTGACACTTTAAGAAGGGTCATGTAGTACCAGTGCAAAAGTTGACAGTAATAATAGTTAACACGTATTGAGTGCCCTCCCAATGCCAATTGCGGGGCCTACATTCTGCCTAGGGTCTTTGTATTCCCATAGGAAAGGACCTACGAAATCTGTGAAGGTACCTGTTAATGGTGAGCTCTTTAATCAGGCAGAGCAATGCTAAATGCTGTTACAGATAAACTACAATTTCTCAACAGCTTAACAAATTAACATTAATTTATTCTGGCATCCTCAACGCCATGAGGGATTCTGGTATTCAGGTCCTTCCATCTTGGCCTCTGCCGCGCTTTCTGTCCCTGGGGTGCTAAGTTCAAACGGTGGACGGAGAAAGAGGGTGAGGAGGCCTAGGAGTGGTCTATTGACTTCTACCAAATTCTGTTTTCTCTGATACATGGCTCTGCCAAGCTGTGAGGGCTACTGGGAAATTAAGTCTAACTCCATGGCCAGAGGAAAAGGAAACGGGTTTGGTGAACACATTGTATCTCCCATACATTTTGAAGTCAGGTTGGTTGGATGAAGAAAGGGAGGGACTAGTAAGAGGGTGAGGTACCAAAAACATACAATGAATGTTAGGTAAAGGATAATATATTAATCAAATTCCCATAGCTTCTCTGGTTACAATTTTCCTTATAAGAACAATAATGGTAATCCACTTGGGTCTTCAATGCGTCAATAATGACATGTTAAAACATTTCTATGGGACTTGAATAGACATTTCCTTAAAGAAGATAGACAAGTGGCCAATAAGCACATGAAAAGATGTTCAATATCACTAACCATTAGGGAAATGCAAATCAAAACAGCCTTGAGATACCATCTCACACCCATTAGGATGGCTATTAGAAACGCAGTAACAAGTGCTGACAATGACGTGGAGAAATTGAAACCTTGTGCACTGTTGGTGGGAGTGTAAAATGTGAAAAGCAGCACGGCGGCTCCTCAAAAAAATTAAAAATAGGATTTCCATGTGATTCCACAATTTCACTTCTGGGTACTCAAAAGAATTGAAAGCAGGGTCTTGAAGAGATATTTGTACATCCATGTTCATAACAGCATTATTCACAATAGCTAAAACGTGAGAGTGTCCAGTGACAGGTGAATGGATAAGCAAAATGTGGTGTATACACATAATGGACCATTATTCAGCCTCAAAAGGGAAGAGGATTCTGTGATACGCAGAATAGGCAACATGGATAAACCTTGAGGACATTCTACTTAGTAAAATAAACCAGTCATAAAAAGACAATACTGTATGATTCCACTTATATGAGATATTTAGAATAATCAAAATCATAGAGGTAGAAAGTAAAATGATTGCCAGGGGCTGGAGGGAGAGAGGAATGGGAAATTATTGTTTGATGGGTAGAGAGTTTCAGTTTCACAAGGTGGGAAGACTTATGGAGATAGATGGTAGAGATGGTTGGAGAATATTATGAATGTATTAAATACCACTGAAATGTACTCTCAAAAGTGGCTAAGATGGTTAATTTTATGTTACATGTATTTTACCGAAATAAAAAAGTTGAAAAAATGTCTAAGGAAGAGTGTTGGCTCTTCCCTAACATTCAACAGGCAGATGGGTTTATGTGTTTGGACTTATTCTCATCATCCTTGGTCACTGGGCATGAACACAGGCCAGAGGATGGAGCTGATGGCTGGGCTTAGAGTCTGAGATGAGGCTGGCATATGCACTGGGGAATGAGAAAGAGTGAGAATAAACAGGAAGCCAAGGGGTTATTGGCATCTCTTCACAATGGTCTCCACAGCCACCTTGACCAAACATTAGTGTTCTGGTTTGACAGTAGCACAACATTTTTAATTAGATCTCATCTAGGAAAAGCCACCTAAATATCGGAAAGATTCAGGGCCAAGAGAATTGTATCTAAGGTCAAAGACTGAGTTGTGGAGAGATGAATCGTGGATGGAATATCAGGGAATTGAATGGACGATGCCCAGATGATGCAAAAAATTCTCTCTTTGATATTCCTAAGAGTTGATGCCCAGTTTTTGACTGCCTGAGCCCTCTTTCAAATGTTGAGCTGAAATCTTTTTCCGTGGACCCCATCCCTCTCTGAGTCCACACAGAGAAAACAGTTTTAGTCTACCTGTATGACCTTGGGCAAAGAACATCACCTGTCTCTGCAGCAATGTCATCATCTGTAAAATGGGGCTGAGTACAGTACCTCTCCTGCATGGAGCTCTCGTGAGGACAAAATGGATAACTGACATAAAGAAAGTGCCATGAAAACAACAGCTAGGGTTACCATTATTAGTCTCAATGAACCTTCCAAAAATGCCTCTCATGTTTGCCTCCGTGTCTTCTCCCTGTTAGATTTCTCTCCTTTCAGTTCTTCAGCTCTTCCTTCTTGTAGAGTTCCAAGCCTTTAACTTTCATCTGAACTATCATTTCCCAAACTCTGTTCTAAGGATAATAGCCCCTCAAGGTATTAGTAGTAATTCCTTGAAAAACAAAGTTTGGGAAACACTTTGTATACCAGCTACTTCCATTAAAGGTTTATAATGTATCTTGGTACAATAAGGGTTCTGAAAAGTCCTCAGCACAGAGGACTGTTTAAATGATGTCATGCGTGTATGCTATGAGTGGAAATGTTCAGCTGGCATGATATTGGTAACGGGCAATCAGTCATCATCTAATTATAATTTTTAAAAATTCGATATACTCATCAAGTTCCAGTTCAAGGTATCCAACCTAGAAATACTTGCCCATGGATCATTCTAGTTTACTGTGTCTTTGAAAACACACTATATGTTGTAATTGGACAAGTATCCCTTTTAACCTTGCCTCATCTGATGATGTGGTAACTAACTATGCCTTTCTTTCTGTGCCTAAATCCATATCACTGATAATCACATGACAGTACTAAACTGACACCAATCCACCAATTTAGACCACATTTTCTGTAACCCATCCACAAGTACATCCTCTTATCTGAGGATTACATTCCTTCTTTAAAACATTCTCTCAAATTTTGTTCTATTGTTTGAGTATAAATTTGGACTCAATTGCCTGCGTGAAATCTCACAAAAGTCCTTTCAATTGAAACCGCATTTTTTTTTTCTCCACTAGATCAACAATCTGTTGATCTGTCTTAACTGGTCATTTCAGTCTCAAGATTCTGATTGATTATCTACGGAGATGAGAAGTGTGTAAATGCTTTGGGCGACACTGATGACTAATGCCTGGGAAACTGTGTGGACCAAAATAAATCTGGAAAGAAATAACCTCAAGTTACCCAGAAACAAATGCATTTGTGCACAATCCAAGCAACAAAAGCCAAAGCTTCCCAGTTCCCTCCTAATCTTTATAAGTGATTTTCTCCTGAGCTACTTGGCACATTTCCATTATGGCCTTCTGAATATGTATAGACCCAGCAGGTAATTTAAGATTGCTGCAAGTGTCTGACAAAAACATAGTGTGTGTTCAACTTGTTTAGGAAACATCTTAATGACAAGCAAAGCAATTTATAGAGGACATATTTTTATAGCACAGTAACATGAACATTTATTATTTGGGCCATAACTGGGAAAGAAAACAGACTTCCCCCATCTAGACAACAAAATTAAATTCCTAGGAAGGCAATTGAGAAATAGGCACAATCTTGAATATAGTTATGGCATAAAATAATATTCTTTTAGAAAGATGGTGGAAAACATGGGAAGAATAGTATAAGGGCCTGATCAAATATTCCCAAGATGTAATTTTGCAGTACAATCCCTTCCAAGGAGAGAAAATTTGATATTATAAAAATTCAAGGTAATCCATCTACTATAGACTTATTTTCCCCCAACGATGCCACTATATCAGGTGATAGTTCTATGTACCTATTATTTGCAACTCATTTTCTCCACAGAATTAATAATGTCTAAGGAGCTTTTGCCTTAGAATTACAAATGTTCTGAAAAGTCCTGCAGTAATAACCTAAATCTTATTTAGGTTAGGCAGGGTGTGGGTAAACGGTTTCTTTTCCTTTTCTCTCCATCTCACTCATATTCTAATTCTTAAGAATTAAACAATTGTATATCCACCGAATTTAGTTTCTAACATATTATATATTCAGGTCTCACTGATAAGGAAAACATTCCAATAAAACAGTCAAGTCAAATGAAGTATATTTCACCGTTCACGTTGCAGCCTAAAGTGCTACACAGGGATTACTACCAAGAGAAACGTAGCAGGACAAATTGATTGGTATTGATGAGCCATTTATTGTCTCAGGTGGCTTGGGAAAGTCACGTGACATTACTGTTTGGCTCTGTCTACTTGCTCAGCAAACACTGACCATGTACCTGCTATGTAGACAGAGCACACTGCAGGGCCTTTGAGACATATCAGATGAAATGCCCACTTTAAGTCTATGTTTTCTCCCTATTTCAATTTGATTTCAAATAAGCCATCACTTCTGCAAGTCATTCTTGTTCCTCGAATTCCCCATAGCTGTCATTCCAAAATGTTTGTATGTCCTTAAGATCCACATTTCCCTTAATACCCTTTTCTCCAGCAAACGAGCCAAGCTTCTGCCTTACTAAGACATGAGTTTCCTGTGATGAGTTACCTCCACTCCCC